TTTATTTTTTTTTTTGGTACCAGGGATCGAACTCGGGTCCTTGCGCTTGCGCAGCAGGTGGCAAAACCACTGAGCTAAATCCCTGGCCCTGGCACACTTTTTTTATAAAGGACCAGCTAGTACATATTTTCCAATGTGTGAACCATATAATCTCTTAATATTGCCATTAGGATTCAAAAGCAGCCATGGACAATGTATAAACAAATGGGCATAGCTGTGTTCTAAAAAGAGTTATTCATAGACACTGAGATGTGAATTTCATATTGTATTTATTGTGTTATGAAATTTTCTTCATCCATTTGATTTCTTCTCAATTTAAAAACACGAGGACATGCTAGTGTGATTGTAAAATGGTGCAGCCTCTTGGGAAAACAGTCTGGCAGTTCCCCACATATGAAACATGGAGTTACCATAGGACCCAGCAGTGTTCTCCAACAATCATAGCAGCACTATTCATAACAGCCCTTAAGTAGAAACAACCCAGATGTCCTCAAACTGATAAATGGATCTTTTTTTGGTACCGAGGATCGAACTCAGACCTTCCACTGGCGAGGCAGGCGCGGTGCCACTGAGCTAAATCCCCAGCCAGATAAATGGATTTTTAAAAACTGTGTTATATCCATGTAGCTAAAAGGGAATTAAATACTGAGGAATACTACAAAATGTAAGTGACAGTGAAAGGAATAAAAGAAACCAGACACAAAAGCCATGCATGATGTGATTCCATTCATATGGATTATCTAGAATAGGCAAATTCATGGAGGCAGGAAGAGGACAAATGGTTGCTAAGGGCTGAGAGGAGCGACTGCTAAAAAGTACAGTGTTACTTTCTGGTGCCATAAAAATGTTCTAAACTGAGACAGTGGTAGTGGTTGTTCTGAGGATATGTTGGAAAAGCTAATTCTAGGTCAGTTTCTCCTCACAACACACATCACTTTCGATATCAGATGTGTTTCGATCCCCCTTCCCCCAACACACACACACTGAGTGGGCACCGCAGCCTGGCATCCTCTAATTAAGTTCAGCTCTGACCTTGTCTGCCTGGAGACAGCATCACATTCCACAGCTTGAGGGCTCAATCCCCAAGACTGTTTGCCCACCTACTTCAGAAGCCTAGGTTGTTTCCCCTGTGCTTGTAATCAACCAGCTAATAAACCCACAAACCCCTCTTTGGATTTAGTTAATTTGTTTGAGCACTCACAGGATTTAAAGACACACAATTACTGCTTTATTATAAAGGATATTTCAAAAGATACGGGTGTGTACAGATGAAGAGATGTGTAAGGTGAGGAATGGGAGAAAGGAGTTTCCATGCCCTCTTCTGGTGCACCGCCCCTCCAGGAACCCCTGTGTGTTCACCTCAGGATTCTTGCAACCCTATCTTACTGAGGTGTTTTGATTTGTTTGTTTTTGGTGCTGGGGATAATACCCTGGGTGTCACACTTGCTAGGCATGCACTCTACCATTGAGCTGCACCCCCAGCCCTTCCTTTTGGGTTTTTAGTGGAGAATTAATACATATCTAACACTGATAGACTGGGTGAAGAAACCCAGCGAGGCTTGTCTGTTCAGATTCTTCTCGACCTCTGGGGAAGGTTCTTTCCTCTCTGGCCTGTGGTAGGATCCCTTCTGAATTGAGGTCTTTATGATGTACTTCTGTACCTTGGGTTTTCTTTGTTTTTCTTTTTGGTACCGGGTATTGAACTCGGGACCTTGCGCTTTCGAGGCAGGCGGCAGAACCACTGAGCTAAATCCCCGGTCCCTATGATGTACTTCTGGACAAAGTAGGTCAGAGAAGGGTGGGGAAGGTTAGAGCTTCTGTGATTTACCCTGGGGAAGAGAAATTCTAGTTTTTGTTTTTGTTTTTTTGGTACCGGGGATCAAACTCGGGTCCTTGTGCTTGTGCAGCAGGCGGCAAAACCACTGAGCTAAATCCCCGGCCCGAGAAATTCTAGTTTTTATGGCATGCCTTGGGGAGGGAGTTGTGAGTCAGGAACAATGGGCAACAAGCAAAAAAAAAAATTATGTCATAGTTTTACAAATGCGAATATGTTAAAGACCACTGGATTGTACATTTTAAAGAGTTTGTTTTACATTGGATTCATGTGATTTGTATCTCAACAAAGCTGTTATTTATTTATTTGAGACAGGATCTCACTGTGTAGCTCAGGCCAGCCTTGAACTCACTATGTAACCTAGGCTGGCCTTGAACTCATGGCAATCCTCCTACCTCAGCCTCCTGAGTACTGGGATTACAGGTGTGCATCACCATGACTGGTGATTTAAAAAATGGAAAAGCCATTTTCAGCTCAAAAACAGATGGTGGACTGGCCATGGCTTGTGGAAGATAGGCTGCAGTTTGCCCACCCAGGTCTAGGGTAGCATCTGGGTCTGGCCCAGTGGGGTGGTTGACAGTATAGCCACTGTCACCCTGATTAACGGGTATGTTTTGTTTGATGCTCAGGACATCCTGGCTGAGGGAGTCCCCTTTAGGGACTCATTTGGAGTCCTCATCTCAATGGAGAACTCATTCATCTTACCCAGGGTTTTTTCTTGGTTGTGATATCTTTTTTGTTTAGGAATGTAAAACAATGTTTATTTCATGGAATCAGTTTATTTTATTTTGTGAGTGTGTGATACTGGAGACGGAACCCAGGGCCTTGGGCATGCTAGACAAAGCATTCTGCCACAGAGCTACACCTCATCCCTTGTTTAAAATTTTATTTTGAGATAGGGTCTTGCTAAATTGCCTAGGCAGACCTTGAACTTGCGATCTTCCTGCCTCAGCCTCCTGAGTGCTAGGATTACAGGCATGTATCACCACACCCAGCCATGGAGTCAATTTTAAAGGAAATGTTATGCCTAACAGTTTGAAGTCTTTTAGAATTTGTGTATAAAACAGGCCAAAAGAATTCAGATACTACACTTGATCTTAGCCAAAAGGCTGAGAAGTGATTGCCAAAAGAATTCAGGAATGAGACCATACCAAGCAGCCTACAGAAAGAAGTATGTGAAGCAACACAATCATGACGATTGTGGCCATCGAAATGCGCCGGTTATCCTCACAAACAGCTGGCCAGAATGTCATTGCCAAGACAGATCCTGAGATGCCCAGGGCAATCATGACTAGAATCCAACGAACTGCTTTCTGGGGAATAATCCATAGTATTGCTGTGGGGTTGTGATATCTTTTTATCCCCTCTCTGCATCAGTTAGAATTTTTTTTTTTTTTTTGGTACCGGGTATCGAACTTGGGACCTTGTGCTTTCGAGGCAGGCGCTGGAACCACTGAGCTAAATCCCCAGCCCTCAGTTAGAAATATTATAACTCAACCCTGAGTTAAAAAATTCTGGCTAGCATTATCCTCTGTGTAGTAATTTATTCTCCCCTTTCATTATATTCTTAAGTAAATGTCAAGCGTCTCTTTTGTTTTGTTTTGCTCTTGATTGTAATTTCCCTTTGTAAGCAACTTTATTCTTTTTTTATTGAATATACTGAGATAACAAAGATGCAGACATTTCAAAGAGAGGTATTGATCTGTGTTCATCACCAGTGTAGTCAGTACATGAAAAAAGCACAAGATGAACTGATAGGGACAGATGAAATTCTGCCAGTTTTGTTTGCACATACTTGTGGTAAACTCTTCTCCAATGAAAAAGGTTCAACATCACCTTTTTTCCCTCTCAAAGTTTCAGCTACAATCAATGCCCCAGGAAAACATTCTAAGTTTATCTTGTGACTTTCTACTAATATACCATCTTTTTGCCTTATATCTCTTCCTCTCAAAGCAAGGGAATCCAGAAACAAGTAGGCCTCAGAGTCTAGCCCACAGGATTGGGATCAGGTTTTCTTCCTCTTCTTTGTGACCTTAGGCAGGCTGAATTTCTTCCCTGTGGCTTTATCAATATCCCAAATGTGGGTAACAATCATTGCCTTGCTTGGGGGCATTGGTAGCCATTGCAATGGTGCCTGTAAAGGGCCTGGCTCTCTCCTCCTACTTAGTGGTTGTCTGCCTGGCTGTTTCCCCTTCGGTGGGTGATGACCCTGTGCCTGGATGTCAGGGTGCTTTCTAACTGTTGGTGGGCTAGTTCAGTGGGAAGAAGGTGACATTATCCTGGTCTTAGTCTGTTTTCTATTGCTGTGAATGAATCCCACAGACTGAGTAATTTATAAAAAATAAAGGTTTATTCAGCTCATGGTTCTGGAGGTTAGGAGGTCCGAGGCTGAGGGGCAACATCTAGTGAGGACTTTCCTGCTGGGTCATGTCATGGTACCACATGGGGAGACAGAGCAGCCAGACAAAGTGAGCTCACTTTTGTAACAAAAGCTATTCCCTCCAGGACCCATTGATCTATGGATTAATCCAGGAGAGCAGGGCTCTCATGACCCAGTCACCTCATAAACTCCTGCCTGGACCCTCTTTTCAATACCTTAATGGGGGCTAAAGTCCAACATGAGTTTTGGTGGGAACGTGTAAACCACCACAGGGCCCCCTCTTCCCTGGAAGTGGTCGGAGGCTCTGGTTCCAGTCTGGGGCTGCTGGCCTGTGCTCCACGTGACCTGTCCGTGGACAGTGCTAGCTGCCCCCTCTCTGACCCCTACCCCAAAGGAGCAGGTAGAAGGCCTGTTGCTTCTGGCTTATAGTCATGGCAGGAGGCTCGATGTGGAAGAAATGAAAAGTTATTGGTTTTCTGAGAATTTTTTTACTCATTGCTTCTGACATTGTGGTAGGGGGAAAATTGAATGCCAATCTTGGATGGTTTGGTCCCTGAACATAGGGGTTCCCAAAGTCACACATCATCACTTTTTTGTTTTATTTATTAGAAGCATGTCATTAGGTTCAGTCTTCATGCAAGGGAAGGGGAATCACACTCTACCTCTTGAGAGGAGGAATTATTATTATTAAAACCACTGCATCTTCCACTGCCCTGTTGTGTTTTTGACCATTGAGTTAGCCCAGCAGGCTCACTTGTGCTCTCTTTGGACCTCAGTTCTCAACATCAGCACCTCGGTTCAGCTGGCAGCCTCTATGCCTTCTGGATTCCAGCCCACGCAGACTCCGGACCCTGCATCCCCTGTTGCCTACTTCCCCTACTTTGACAGGACCTACCTGGGGGTGGCGGCATCACTCAATGGGGGCAATGTGCTGGCCACATTTGTCCACATGCTGATTCAGTGGATGGCAGATCTAGGTAAGAAGTGGCCCACACAGTGTTGTGTTCTTTGCTTGTCCTGTCCTTTCTGTGTGGTGGTGTCTTGGAGCTTCGTGTGCTATTTCCGTGTTCAGGTTCAACTCTCAGACCCAGCTGGGTCCTGGCATGTTCCTTCCTGCCTTTGGGGTATGAGCTTGCAGCTTCTTTGCTTGCCTACTCTCTTCTCTGTGGCGGGTGGCAGGTGGCAAGTAACCTTCACCCTTGCCTGGATATGCAGTATTCCTCAGCTTTCCCTGACCCTTACAATCTTATTTTCTCTGCCAGAAAGTCCCTGTGATCCATGCATTTAAAGTTTTTCTTTTGATGACTACAGATAGCTGAAATTGAATGATCAAACTGCATCAGTGAAAAAGATTCCTGGTATTTGACAATATTATAAAATCCTGATAGCACTTGTTCCTGGAAAGTAATTTTTATCTCACTCTCTTGGAAGGTTTCCTGGAAACTTTGAAGTCTTCCTGCTCCCTTCTTTTATTCATCAGGTCTTCCTCTGTTCTGCATGTATAGCAGCACATGTAACCCCCTTCTCCTATGAAAGATTTGCCTTGCAACCACTGAAGGTAGAAATGACATTTCAGGTCAGCAGTCCAGGCCTAGGGAAACCATGGCTGTCACATGCAGAGGTCATTTGGAGGGACTCAAAGTCAAGTAACTGCAAGAAATGCTCAACACAGAAAAAGGCGAACCCAGGCAGCAGAGAATTAAGTGTGAAGCTCCTGCTAGTTGTGTGGACAAGTGCTGCTGGCTGATGTCAGTGTTTTCAGCGTGCCCAGGATGTCTGGATCACCAGGCAAGTTCCATCCCCTGTGGGGCGTCCTCTCAGGGATGCTCTGTTGAAAACCCAGGGAAGATTTTTCAGTTGCAGAACCAGTCATCGGAACCTCCAGGCAGACCCTTTAACCAGGTGCTGGTGTCACTGGGTTGTGTATATGTTGTCAGCAGGCCAGTGTTTTTCATACCCCTGAAAGAATTTGTCATGTTTAATTTATTTTTCTGTGACATTCTTTTGCATATTTATGGCTTGTGTTTTGATGAGACAAGAAGTGCTTTGGAGGTTAGTATTTTTATGTAATTTAACCTTTTAAGAAATATCTGAGTATTATTAGTTAGCTTTCCTATCCCTGGGAGAAAATATCTGACACTCAAAACTGAAAGAAGGAGAGGTTTAATTTTGGCTTGTGGTTTCAGGAGTTTCAGTGAGCTGGCTCCTAGGCAGGAACATCATGGAGGACGGGCATGGCAGGTGTCTTAGTCACTTTGTCATTGCTGAGGCACAATACTTGGCACATACAACTTAAAGGAGGAGGGGTTTATTTTGGCTCACAGTTTGTAGAGGTTTCAGTTCACAGTCTCAGCTGGCTCCAAGACAGGGCAGCATGGCAGAGGAAAAGGAGCTCATGGCATGGCAGTAGGAAGCAGAGAGATCAAGGGAGGAGGGTGAGAGATAGACATTTACAGGCTCTGACCAGGCTTCACCTCCCAACATCCCATTTAGCTGTAAACTAATCAGTGGACTAATCCACTGATAAGTGTCACAACCCTATGATCCAGTCGCCTCCCCAAAGCCCTTATGAGTGCATGTGGCTTTGAGCAGGCATCTAGATATAAACCAAAGCAGCAGGGGAAAGCTACTTACCTCATGGTGGCCAGAAGCCGAGCGAGTAGGAAGAGAGCCAGAGCGAGAGAAAGAGTGAAAGTGAGAGGAGAGAGCAAGAGAGGGAGCGAGAGCAAGAGAAAGATAAAGAGAAAGAAGAGAGAGGAGAGAGGAGAGAGGAAGGTGCTGGGATAAGTATATACCCTCAAAGGCCATGCCCCCATGATTCACCTCCTCCATCCAGCTCTCAATTCCTAATCGCACATTCAGGTACGAACTCTTGAATAGACCAATCCACTGCCGAGTATCTCACCCCCGTGGTACAGATCACTTTCCAAAAGCCCCACCTCTGGACACATGAGACTTTTAGAGGACATACTAGATCCAAACCATAACAGCCTATACTTATGTAACTTAACTTTTTATAAAATCTCTACAGTTACAGAAGTACTCTCCAAGACCTAGGTCATAGCCTAAGTGATTTTTTGTTTTGCCAGTGAGCAAGATGACTTTGTGTATATTTTAATCTTTCCTCAACTTTTTGAATTTTTATTAAAGAAATACAATCACATGACTTTACAAACCACACAAAACTAAACTCTAGACTTTATTCGGTTTTACCAGCTTTTCCACTGTTTTTTTTTTTGTCCTAGATTCAATACTCATTGCATTCATATCTCCTTAGCCTTCTGCTTTCTATTGGATTGATCCTCCCCTTCTTTATCTTCTCCTTTTTTCCCTCTTTAACTTAGAGGGTTTACATTCTGTATCTGTGCTTTTAGAAGTTGCTGGTGCACTGTTTCCAAGGCTATGGAGGGTTTGTCACTTTTACATGCTTTGTGGTATATAAATTGTTACCATTCCTAAGGAGTTACCCTTGAAAGAGGTAATGTTTCATTTACTTTTCTGTAAGATCCTCTTGCATATTCATGGTTTTTCTTTTGATGAAACAAGGAGTGCTTTAAAGGCTAGTATTTTTATGTAACTCAGGCTTTTATGAAATTTCTGCTATTATGTATGTGCATGAATTTTGATCTAGAAGTTCCCATCCACAGACTGAATCTAGAGATTATACACTTGTACACACCTACTAGGTTATTTACTAAGAACAGTTTTTTATAATTTTTATTTTTTATCTTTGTAGTGCTGGGGATCAAATCCAGGGCCTTGCACATACCAACCAAACAGCATTATTTTTACAAAAGCAATAATGCAGGAACGTTTTTGTTGTTGTTGTTTATTTATTTATTTTTTTGTACCGGGGATCAAACTCGGGACCTTGCACTTTTGAGGCAGGTGCTGGAACCACTGAGCTAAATTCCCGGCCTGTTGTTGTTTATTTTTGAGACAAAGGTCTCACTGTGTGGTTCAGGCTGGCCTTGAACTCACTATGTAGCCCAGGCTGGCCTCAAACTCATGGTAATCCTCCTGGTTTAACCTCCTAAGTGCTGAGATTATAGGCATGTGCCATCACACCTGGCCTCTCCATGTGCTTTTATTTTTTTAAATTAATTTTATTGGTACATTTGAGGTATACAGTATAATGACATTCATCTTTGGAAATTTGCACCTCTACATAATCTCTCTTGGTTTTTATTTTTTCCCCATTCCCCTGCCCTCCCTTCAACCCCTGTCTCTCTATGTGCTTTTTAGAAACTCCAGCCTGTGTTTTGGCTTGGAGATCAGATTTTTAACTGGGCCACTGTGTGTCAGCCAGAGAATTTGGGCTGGTATAGTCCCTCGACATCAAAGCAGGGCTGTGAAGCACTCGGTTCTGTGTTGCAACAGTGAGGGACTGGATGAAGTCAGCAGAGTATACAGAGTGCCTGGAGCCGGTATTCAGCCACAGGCTGAATTTTGTATCATTGCAAATGTGGGCTAGAAGAATTTTTTGGCATAAAAGTAGAGACACCCATGTTGCACTAGCCAGTTGAGTGCCTAAGGGCTTGCAGATTTTTGGTTTTAGCCCTGGTACACTTCTGCCTCCTGAAGAATCTCGGACCTCTCAGGCTCCAGTCCCTATGGAAGAGGAATTGGTTTCTCTTCAGCATTTTCCTTTGTAGATTCCAAGGCAGTGGCTCCCAGTCTCTCTTCAAAAAGTCACTTTTCACTCTGTATCTGCTTGTCTTTCAAAGATGGGTCAAAATGTTTCAGTCCTTGTCATTTCCTCTCCTGTGTTCTTTGTCCTTGGTTTTTCTTACTTAAGAAAGAAATTTGGGGTTGGAGGTATAGCTAGTGGTAGAGTGCTTGTTGAACATGCTTCAGGGCCTGGGTTCCATCCCAGAACTGCAAAAGAAAAAAAAGTTGGTGATATTTTAGTGGAATTTCTAGAGAAGGAATTCTGACCCAGAGTCATGCTGATTAAATTTTACTAGTTGCCTGTGATATTGACATTATTTTTCTCTCTGCCATTCCTGAGTATGTGTAGTTGATTTGTATAAGTTAAATGTTTTGATGATATGACTGTACTGTAACTCTCTGGGTTAGTGGTTTTCAGCATCAGATGCGCACTTGAATTAATTATGAAGTTGTAAAACAATATTGACATCCTGGTTCCATGCTGACTTGTTTAGGCTGGGGGTAGGGTAATGCTGAGCATGGCCTTTTATACATGCTCCTTAGGTGATTCTGATGCTTGTTGATCAGCATCACTCTAGTTGGAGCCAGCAGTACTCGATTCCTCTAGAAGCCTTTAATAAATGCAGGACCTCAGGGTCTGGCCTAGGAGCAGAGTCAGATGCAGACTTCTAACAAGAGTCCTTAGGGATTTATTCATACATTCATGTTTGAGAAGTACCTATAGGTCTAAGCTGGTGGCTGTCCAGCCTGGTTCCATTTCAGAATCACCTGGGAAATGTTTAAAAATTACAGCACTCAGGCTGTAGCCAAGACCAATTCCATCAGAATGTCTGGGGAGGGGACCTAGCACTTTGAAAGTCGTTCAGGTGATTACAATGTGTCACAGTAGTAGAGAGCCCCTAGCCTGGACAGCTTTCTTCCTGTCAAAGCCAGGTTTACTTTCTCTCAGTTAATGCCAAGCTAGAGATGAAAGTGATACATTTTCTTCTTATCTTCCTTCCCCTGCTGCTTTTTCTTCTTCATCTTCC